CGCACACACACACACACACACACACACACACACACACACACACACACACACACACACACCGTATTTGTTGGCGAATCGATGGAACATGTTGGCGATGGTGCTTGACCCTGTCTTGTGGGTCTTGATGTACACAAACTTCTTTCTTGCATCGGTGCAGGTTGGTAGATCCGAGATGAACTGGCGTTGCAAGCAGGATGTGGTTGACGTGAGCCGAAACAGCACAGCACAGAGAGAAAGAGAGAAACAGGTAGAGACAGGTGGAGAGCGAGGGGAGTACGCGAGGCAACAGGAACAGGCAAGAGCAGCCCACCATGCCAACCATCACAGCAAGGGTAACAACAGCACACTCACCGTCATGTCGTCTTCTGCGTATTGAATCGAACCGATTCGCAAGCAACAGCAACCAGAACATACAGCATGTGTGAACCAGGCAAGCACAACCAGGTTCACAAGCAAAACCAGATGCGCTCGCACTTCGACGATCTCCTCTGCACCCTCACCCCTCGGCTTCCACACCTTCCTCATTCCCCTTCCTCCTATTGCCTCGTCCCTTCTCCAGCCTCACCTGCATGGGCTGGCGTCGGCTGCGTCGCCATCAGCACCATCACCGCAGCCGCGACGGCCACCGTCATTGGCAGCAGCAGGCCACCCATGCTTCTCCCACCACCACCACCACCAACAGCGCGGTTGGTCTTCATTGTTGTTCTCGTCTTCCACTGTTGTTCGCGGGCTTGTAGAAAATAACCGAAAGATTCCGTACAATCGCCCACAATGCCTTCTTTCACTTTATGGTGTCGTGACCAGCCCCTGTTTCTTGCAACCCGAACTGCTGCGCCAGTTTCCGGATTCGTTCTGGTGTTTGTTTGTGTGTGTGTGTGCAGCGGCAGCACACGCACAGACGCACACACCATCACATTCCCCATTCCCACACCACACCACCTCATCCATCCACCTTCCCCTGTCTGTCCAGATGCAAGCGACGTGCACCTGCCTGCGACGGCGGGTGGCGTCGGCTCTGGCTGCATGGCACCATCAACGCGTGCCCGCGCGCTCTTTGCACCGCATCGCTACACCAGCACCAGCGGTGAACGCAGCAATTGCGCGTCGCGTTGCTCCTGCATCAGCTCCTACATCAACAACACAAGCAATACGACGAGCGCCACAAGGGCTGACGCCGCGGCCGCACGTGTGCTGCGGGATGGGGTTTGGCTTGCTGAGTGCACAGCCGACCGTGTTTGATGGGCCCAGTTCGTTATCACAGCCGCCATCACAGCCTCCACCACCGGCCACAGCCACAGCAGCTGCAGCAACGCCCCAGCACAGAGCCACGCCCGTAGTACCCAGCCCACTGCGCTGGCGCGTGTGCAAGGTGCGGTCGACGGATGGGCACACAGACGTGGTGACACAGGCAGCCAATCTGGCGCACGACGCTGCGCCCTTCCTCCACAGCACCCGAACCAACACACTCACGACCACCCAAAGCACATTGCTACGAAGGAGACCGGGCCTTCTGAACCACCAACAGCAGCAGCAGTCGTTCCAGACGCGCATCCAGCGGCGCTCACTGCACGTTGCCCGGCGTCATCTTGGTGCGCGCACACACTACGATGTCCTCGGCGTCAGCAACACCGCATCACAAGCCGACATCAAGAAGGTTGGTACAAGGGTTGTTGCGGTTGTGACGCTGATGTCGTTGTGGTGGTTGTGACGCTGTTGTCGTTGTGGTGGTTGTGGTTGTGGTGATGGTGTGGGAAGGGAACTGCAATCGTCATGCATAAGCCGAACCACAAGTGATATTCGAGACAGCACTCACCCCCCCCCGCCCTTGTGCATCACCCACTTACACACGCACGCTGCAGGCGTACATTGAGCTGTCCAAGCTGTTGCATCCGGACAAGACGGCGCACAAGGAAGGCCTTGACCGGGAGCGGTGCGAGCAGCAGTACCAGCAGGTGACGGAGGCGTACAACGTCCTCTCCCGGCCGTTTGACCGCCGTGCTTACGACAACACCCTCAGCAACAACTACGGTGCGTTCTGGTGTGTGTGTGTGTGTGTGTGGATCTGTGTGTGTGGATCTGTGTGTGTGTGTGTGTGTGTGTGTGTGTGTGTGTGTGTGTGTGTGTGTGTGTGTGTGTGTGTGTGTGTGTGTGTGTGTGTGTGGAATTGTGCTGTGCAAGTGCTTGCAATTTACACCACGAGCTCTTCATACTCAATGCTCTCTCACTCACAACACCACCCCTGCGTCTGTCACCATCAGGCATGTCTGCGGCAAGCGCTGCGAGCACGACGTACAGACCGCCTTCATATCAGCACCGCGACATCTACGACAACGTTCACTTTGGGCCGTCCCCGTACAAGGTCCCGCATGTGTTGTGTCGTGTGTTGTTGTGTCGTGCTGTGTGGTGCTGTGTTGTGCTGTGTGTATGTGTGTGTGCTGTGCTGTGTCGTGTTGTGTCGTGTGTGTATGCGTGTGTGTGTGTGTGTGCGTGCTGTGCTGTT